GCCCAAGTGCCCTCATGTTCGGGTTTTATTTACCCGGGACAACCTTTCTGAGAACTAGGTCACCACCTCGAAGTCTCAATTTTTGACTTTAGAGTTGAAGTATCTTTTGGCTCGCTGTTGATAGGAAGGAAGCCTCAGTTGAGACTTAGCCCGATGTTCTTCATCGGGCTGATACATCGAAATTTGGTTATATCCTGAGTAAGCATCCATGAAGCTTAGTAGTGCGTTCTTGGCTATCACATCTACTAGTTGATTGATATGGGGTAGCGAAAAGCTGTCTTTGGGGCAGGCTTTGTTCAGATCAGTTAAGTCGACACAAGTCTGCCACTTGCCATTTGACTTCTTCACTAAGACCAAGTTGGCAAGCCAGTTTGGGTACTTTACTTCCCAAATAAAATTGATGTTTAGGAGTTTATCAACTTCATCCTTGAGTGCTCTGGATTGCTCAACATCCATAAATCTTCTCTTCTGTCTTATTGGTCGAGCCGTTGAGTCGACGTTCAATTTGTGGCACATTACCTAGGGGCTGATCCCTACCATGTCCACAGGTACCCAAGTGAACACGTCAAGGTTTTTCTTTAGGAACCTCACTAGACTGTTGGCTAGCTCGTCGCTCAGATTGCTTCCAATTTTCAATACGCTAGTTGGGTCTTCCTCACTGACATGTATTTCTCGTAACTCTTCTATTGGCCCTACTACGAGCTCTTCTTTGTGGATGCGAGGATCTATGGTGCCCTCCAATGATCCAGGCTTTGGCTCAAATTTAGCATGACCATGGTTCTCAGGAGTGGGCATTTCTGTGCAGCAAGAATGACCTGATTATAACATTCCCAAGAATCTTTTCTGCAACTTCTGATTGTTGTGATCCCACTTGGAGTTAGGAATCTCATTGCTTGGTAGTGCACCGAGGTGACTGCGCTTAGGTCGTCCAAGATCGGCCTCCCTATAGTGACATTATAGATAGTTGGGCAGTCGACCATTAGGAACTCTGACATCACTGTCCTTATCGAGGCTCTTCCCCAAGAGTCAAAAGCAAATCGATTGTCCCTTTAAGGACTAGGCTATCCTTGATAAATCTGTATAGCGGCGATGGACATGCCCTCAGGTCTCGTTTTGTGGACCTCATTTCTCAAAAATATTTCTTGGAAAGCTCCCAAGAAAATGATGTTTGCTGCACTGCCATTATCGACCATTACCCTAAGTACTCGGGCATTGGCTATCCTTGCTGCGATTACAATCGTATCATGGTTGTGGTGAGGAGATTGTTCACACTCTTCCTTGGTGAATCCTATCACATCATTTTCTTGCTGGGTCATTTTGGCAGCTTTTGCTCACAACTCATTACTCGGGAGAATGAGTCTATCCTAGCCTCTCATGTGTATTGTTCGCGAAAGCACCTGTAACTCCCTGCAATGTCAGGTCACTCGTAAATCATACCCACCAGGACTTCGTTGTTTGGCTGGGTTTGTTGGTCCTGATTATTCAACTCGCTTGGATTTTTGCGAGTTGGCTCTTGCTTGATAAATTCTTTCAAGTGGCCTATTCTAATCGGATCTTCAATGACATCTTTCACAACCCGACACTCGTTTGTGTTGTGCCTGATGTCCGGTGGTATCGATAGTATTTTTGGCAATCTCTTTTGCTTGGTGCCTCCTTCATTCTTTCTGGCGCAGGCAGTTTCCTAGCCTTGGGAAAGACTTCATAGATGTGAGCTACATCTTGAGTCAGGGGGGTGTACTCTACAGACTACGAAAAAGGTTGCCTTTCCCCATGGTTTTATGTTTTCTATCTTTTTTGGAACCTATTTTAATCTCTATCATTGCGATCTTGGCCTTTCCATTTGTTTGTTAGGTGATCTTGTCGCCTGTTAGGGGCTCTTTTGGTGAGCTTCTGGCTAAGCCGCTAGCGAGTTTTCTACTTGCTAATGTTTGACGGCCATTTCATAGAACTTGGCCAGACTCACATGGTTTTCACCTTGGAGCTCTTTCCACAACTTTGTTTGTGGGCTCATTCCTGTTATTAGCAAAGTCTGAATTAATTCCTCAGGTGCATCCACGACCTTTGCTTGTTCGTTTTGGAATCTCGTTAAATATGAGGTCAAAGTTTCGTCTCTTTCTTGACGAATATTGCTTAGATAGCTGAGCTGTATTGCAAACTTCGCTTGGAATTGTTGTAAGTACAGTGAGGAGAATTGTTGCCAAGACTATATTGAGTTTGCCTTGAGCCTCTTGTACCACCTCTTGGCATCCCCTACTAGAGTGATCGCAAAACAGTGGCACTTTGCCAAATTAGAGACTTGATGCAGCTTTATCAGCTTGTTGAAAGAGTCAAGGTGGTCTCTGGGATCCCTTTTACCATCGAACTTGCTTTCTGGCACCTTGAATCCTTGGGAAAGCGGGGCTTAACAAACTTCCTTTGTGAATGGAGAACATACTATCTCTTTTGCCGCATTATTCTAGCAGTCTCTTAGATCATCGAATATTTTTTTGCACCCGATCTAAGTCCTTGTCATGAGAGTATTCTGGCTATAAGCTTTGTTTAATCTTAGCTCGAGCAAGTGAGATTGAAGATCAGTTGCTTGCGAGCCTGCTCTATCGTGTGCATTGGTGTGTGAGGTGGAGTCATGATGGCTTGGTTGATAGGTGCTATCATGCTCATCTGTGTGTTGCTTGCGACATTGGTTAAAATTGGGACGTCGATTATTACCAGATTAGCGCGCGTGGGTAAACTCGTGAGCTTGCAAGGTTTGAGCCTGCCTTTGGCATGGGTTAAAACCAGCACACTAGTGTTGATTATTTTGCTAATTAGAGCGAGCATCCCTTTGCCGACCATGGGGTTCATTTTCCCCTATAGGCTGTTTGCTTGGTCGCCTCCCAAGGTTGACTTGCCCACGGGATTCAAGCTCGTGAACAGAATGTGCCCTTTGGTGTTGAGGGTGACAGTTGCTTCTTGGTGCCGACGAGCCAGATTGGTCGTTGGTCGAGCCATTACGGCTCGTTGGAGTAACCTCCGTGAAGCGTGGTTGGTCGAGGTCTTGGTGGGCTGGTTGCTAATTTTTTAACTTAGTCACATTCTGTTGCACCACCTGTGCAACCATCGTCCTTATGATCTCCATCAGTTGTCCATTCTTGGGATTCGATGTCCCTACCCCCTGTTGATTTGTGACATGCTGCACTAGTGGCATTGGTGGTCGACCTAAAGGAGCAGTCTGATGCACCTTTGGATTGGCGGTTTCCACGTTGTCGTGGTTTCCGGTGGTGGTTTTTGATTTGGTATGGGCCATTTGAATTTTTAGGTGATTAGGTCACTAAAGTTAATTGCCAAAACTTTTGAAAGTAGGCAGAGGCCCTCCTTCTAGTGCCAAAATGTTGATGCAAGAATTACACTAACAAGACTGATTAGATTGACCTTGGTGGAACCAGAATTGATGTATGTGTGATTAAATATAACCAGCAATATAATGAATATAAAAGCAGTAAACACAAAAGGTTTTTAAAGTGGTTTGACAAGTTTGAATCTTGAGCCTACATCCACTGTTTTTCTTATTTGCTTAGAGAGCTTACAAGAAAATAGTATAATGCCTAGAATAATTTGCTAACCTGTTTTCCATCGTTCGAAGGGATTTATATACAAATCTTTTACAAAGGAAAAAGCGAAATTAAAGGAATTACAATTAAGATTGAAATGCAACTCCGATATTCTCGCTATTGAGCGCTAAGATCTCACCATTATTGAAGTTGATCTGATCTTTTCCAAAATATCTGGGATTTGAGCTTATCTGTGATTTGCTTGAACAACTGTCAGGATTGGTCGCGACTAGCTTATGGTGGGTCAAGTTATATCTTAACGAGCTTATGCTGGGTCGGATAAGTGTTGAGCCAAACTGATTATGGGTTGAACTATAACCTCGCGGAACTTTGACTTCTCTGAGCTTAATGGAAAAATCACACACAACAAAGAAGTATAAAAGAAATATTCTACTTTTATATATAGAAGTGCAAGCTGTAATATGAATTATAAATTAATATACATAAAAAAGAGTAGCAAAAATCTCAGTTTTTACTTTTGATTCAAGTACCAATTTTTAATATATAAAGAAAAAAAAAAAAAAATAGGGCTAAAAACATACACCCTTGAGGTATGATATAATAACAAAAATCTTCCCTGAGATTTTTGAAATAACAAAAAATCCTTGTTATTAATGAATTGTTAGTAAGCCATTAAAATTTACTCTATTACGAGCTAATGAATATTACGAAATTGCTCTTCTATTATTTATTTTAATGCCTAACATTTAATAACAGAGAAATTTCTGTTATTTTTGAAACCTCGAGGAGATTTTTGTAATTTTATCATACATTAGCAGAATTAATGTTATTATCCCACGACAAAAAATATACATGGTTCCAAAGTTGAAGAAAACTAAATTCTTGTTACTTGTAAAGTAAGCAAATTTATTTTTAAATTAAAGCTTAGTTGTAGTTGCTTACAAGTTAATTATGCATAGCCCAACCAATAAACAAAAGGTCAATCATCCCCTAAAAATATGTGAAGTTCAACTCCTCTATTTTTTTTTATGACCGAAGTGTCCAAACAAACTTATGCACATTTCAACTAATCTCGAGATCTATTGAATTGTGGTTTGAACCAAGTAATCAATTTCTTGACTGCTAGCCAACCGTTGGGTTTCAACTCTTTTTTTTGTTTTTTGTTTTTTTGGGGTAAGTAGAATGGAAAATAGTTAATTGGGGTGAGAGACGCTCGAACTCTCGACCTCAGGATCACTACCTACTCGCTAGCCAACTGCCCCACCACCCCATGTCTCAACTCCTCGATTGCCTACCAATACAAGTCTTGTAAGTAATGCTGGGAATTTATCAATCTCTTCAATCAAGAAAACTATGATATTCCGATAAAGAACGGAGAAAATGATCATTAAAACATGGGTATGATATTCACCATCTTTTAGTCTTACATGCTATTATTTCGGAACCGATTTCTTACTTGATACATTCTTTTGTGGAACTTGATCGAACTTCATTGTGCCACAGCGGATATTCTGTCACCGACTCATTTTTGCGGTCTGCAGGAGACGAATAACGGTGCAACGGAGTTTGATTGATGTCAAGGTGATAAAGGATAATTACCATAGCAATTGAGGAAATAAACATGGGTATTGGACCAAAAAACCATAGAAGCAAATTAAGAGCAAAATAAAGAGCTCTAAGTCCTAGATACCAAAAATCACCTCCCTTTATAACTGCAGTCTCAACAAATTGCAGAGGTATTTCACTCTCTGGTATGCTAATCAGATAGTTTGCATGCACAAAATGCCTTATTGATTGGACAAAACATGAAAAGGCTAGAAGAAAACATACGACAAGGCTTATGTATTTGATTGAAATGGTGGCAGCCCTGGTGTCCCCATAAATTAAGTTGCTCTGAAATACGTTATTGGAAGAACTTCCAAGCCACGCTCCAATGAGAGAGCTGAGGGTAATGGAGATTGTAGATAAGAAAGTTGCTGCTGATATGTTGCTTGATATCACAGAAACTGCTGCACCGGTCGTATCCTTGTTGTAATTCAGCACAATTTTTTCAACCCAAGCTCTCTTGTTATGGTTCTCGAAGCCGAGAGCGGTGGTGTGAGGAAGATTAAGGTATCTGTAGAGGAGGAAGAGATGGTATGAAAACATGATGAGCAACCCAGTAGGCACAAGCACCAGATCAAGGTCTTCCTTTTGGAAGTACATTGTTTCTTTCCTGGTGTTTTGAGATTTGTGTTAGTTGTGGTCTAAATTAATCTTTGAGGTTTTGGATTTGTTTAAAGTCCTTGACATTTTCCTACTACGCTACAACAAAGTCAGCTTGCAATCTTTTGTTTATTTCCTTTTAATATATCAAGACAAATGTGTCAAAGCTACCAAGAATTTATGAATTATCCTTGTATGACAAAGATAAGTACCTAATCTAGCTGATTAAAAGACAACATGCATTCTCTCATCCATGACCATGATTTAAACAAAATCCGAGAGAATGTGGAGTAAGTAATCTTCTCGTAACAATATTATAATTAATAATGATAAACAGAACAAGACATTAATAACACTCCATTCTTTGTCATCCTTTCACTCTTGACTATACGCCTTAATAAATCATCTGCTTGAGCCTCAAGACAACCAATTGTTCTTTCGTGAACATCCCAAGAAAATATTTTACTTGAATACAGAGATTCTTATATAGGATACTGATCAGGAGCGCATATATATATCAAGCTCGGGCTACCGCAAGGATGTAGCTCGACCCAGGATCAGTCCGACTTCACCGGTTGTCTGAACCAACATAAGCTCGTCGATATATAGCTCGACCCAGCACAAGCCAGTCACGAACAACTTGAATGATCATTCAATTAATTCTCAGATAACTTTAGATCCCAGATATCGTGGGAATGACTAGATCAACAACAATCTCTGCACAATCACAACGCCCAATCGCGAGAGTATCAGAATTGTAGTTAAGATCAATTAATCCCTTTATTTTCGCTCTTTTCTTTGTACAAACCTTGTATATAAACCCCCTCAAATGATGGAAAAAGGGTTACAAAATTTTAACATAATTCTCATTGTAAGCTTTTACAGCAAATACAAAAAGTAGTGGACGTAGGCTTAAGAGTTTACCTCGCCAAACCACTTTAAAACTCTCATTGCCATTTACTTTATTGCATTCAATACTTGTCAATCCTTGATTATCCGTAATCATGCACACATCCATTCCGATCCCACCAAGGTCGATCAGAATTCTTTGGTTAGTGTAGATTTCTGTATCAACATTTTAGGGCTAGAAGGAGGGCCTTTGCCAACATCTCAGCAATTCCTACGAACAGTCACAACAACCTATCCAATCCAAGCCCACAATGGTGCATACTAGATCAAAGACCACCACCGAAAACCTTGAGAGTGTAGAGACCATCCACTAGGAGGTACAAAATGATGCCGCTAGACGCCGACTACCCATGCCGCCAACTCAGCACGTCACGAATAACCAGGGGGCAGGGACATCAAACCTCGAAAACAACAACAAAATGTGGCTGAGTTGAGGAATCAGCAACCAATTGCCTAGAATATCAACCAGCCACGCTTCACCAGTGCCACCCCAATAGGTATGAATTCTGCAGGTGGCCAGTTTGGTTCATCAGCACCAAGAGGCGGCCAACGCCTTTGACATTGCTAACTGCATTCCACTCACGAGTGTGAGTCCCATGGGCAAACTAACCTTGAGAGGCGGCCAGGGAAGTAACCACTAGAGGAAAGTGAAGGCAACGGTCATCCCCGAGATGCTCGGCGATATCCCCAATATCAGCGTGCTGGTATTAACCCATGCCCAAGACAAGATCGGTCCCTACCAGCTCGTGAGATGAGCCATGTGCGCCAATCTGGCATTGACCGATGCTACGGTTATAACCGACATCGCGAGTAACAAACCAACGAGTATGATAACACCAATCAGCCTAGCCATCATGACTTAATTTCGCGCATCAATGCGCACAATTGAAGGTCTTCATAGGCAACAGACTTGCGAACTCATTTGCTCGAAGTAAGGTTGAACAGAGCCATCCAAGGCAACCACAATGAAGACTTAGATCAGATGCAGAGAATGCTTGACTATCTGAAAGCCCACCAGAATGACATAGTAGAGGAAATAGTAAGTTCTTCTTTTACAGAGGAAGTTCGCCAGACCCTACTTCCACAAAGATTCAAGGCGCCAGAGAGTATTTTTGATGGGAGAGGGGACCCTAAAGACCACCTTGATAATTTCAATGATCTGATGGAGCTGCACTAGGTCTTTGACTTGGCGAAGTGTAGGTGTTTTGCAGTCACATTAGTAGGGGATGCCAAGAGGTGGTATAAGAGGCTCAAGGCGAACTCCATCAACTCTTAGCAACAATTCTCCTCGCCGTACTTACTGCAATTCCAAGCGAGGAGACAATTCGTAATGTCGCTTAGCTACTTGAGCAACATTCGTTAGGAGAGAGATGAAACATTAACCTCGTACTTAACGAGGTTCCAGAATGAGCAGGCAAAGGTTGCGGATGCACTCGAGGAGTCCATCTAAACTATGTTGATTGTAGGGATCAGGCCGAACACAGAGCTGTAGAAAGAGCTCCAAAGTGAAGATCGCGTAAGCCTGGCCAAGTTTTACCAAATGGCTATGAAACACCAGCAGGTAGAAAGCTCGCTGACAGCATTGGCCATAAGTTCAGCGCGAGGAGTCTCGGACAGGTGAAAAGATCACCTATCGGATAAGCGTGGGGGCCAAGACCGCAATGATAGGGACCACAACAGGTTTCAAAAAAGACAAAGAACAGATAACCGCGAAGACAGGCAGCCTTTCCCGTGATATGCAGAATATCCCCCTCTCACTCAAGACATCGCCCACATCTACGAAGTCTCCTATAAGGCAAAGAGACTGCCCACTCTAGAAAGAATGAGAGGGGCTTCGGCCAGAGATCGACAAAAGTATTGTTGATACCACCGAGATGTCGGGCACAACACAAACGAGTGTCGGGCTTTGAAGGATGCCATTGAAGACCTGATAAGAAGGGGCCACCTAAAGGAATTTGTTAAGATGACACTAGCTCGTGAAAATCCTTGAGAGCAAAATAACCAGATCCAGAGCTAGGACCAAAACCAAGCCCAGAACTAGGTCCAACAAGCCTCGCCAAATGCCAACAATGAAGTCTGGGTAGGCATGATCTACGGAGGGCCTAACATAGCAGGGAGCTCAAGGTGTGCTCACGAGTAATATGCCTGAGAGGTAAGGACAGACTCAGTTCCTTAGATAATGAGCTGTGAAAGTGGCTTAGACAAGAGAGCGAGGTAGTAGGGTTCACAATTGAGGAATGCAAAGAATCCTCTCGCCATAATCATGATATGATCATAATTGCGGCTAGAATTGGTAATGCCCGAGTACAGAGGGTAATGGTTGATAATAGGAGTACAGCGAATATCATTTTCTTGGGAGCTTTCTGAGGAATGACGTTCACAGAGAGAGACCTAAGGGTGTGCCCTTCACCGCTCTATGGATTTACCGGGGACAACTTGGTTCCCAAGGGCATGATTTACCTCCCTATAACTCTCGGGATGGAGCCCAAGATCCAGACGGTGATGGCCAAATTTTTAGTGGTAGACTGCCCTACCACATACAATGTCATCCTCAGAAGGTCGATCTTGGACGATTTGAGTGCAATCACATCGGTGTGCTGCTAGGTAATGAGGTTTTTGACTCCCAAGGGGGTCACAATGATCAGAGCTGTATAAAGGAATCTCGAGAATGTTACAACCAAGCCATACATACAACATAAAAGTGGCCGCCCTGAGAACAATGGTTATAGCAGAATCCAAGCCAAACCTTGGACCCTTTGAGGATACTATAGATCCTCGCATCCATAGAGAAAAGCCCGCAATAGGGTTGACAGATAAGCTGTAAGAAATAAGTGTCAGTGAGGAAGATCCAACTCGCGTATTGAAAATCGGCAGCAGTTTGAGCAGAGAAATGGCTGATAATTTGGTGGGGTTCTTGAGGAAAAATCTCGACGTTTTTGCATGGGTGTATACGGATATGGTGGGGATAAGCCCCGAGATAATGTGCTACAGGTTGAACCTCGACTTTAAAGCTCGGCCCATAAAACATAAAAGAAGGTCTGTGGATGCAGAGCGCTCACAAGCGCTCAAGGATGAAGTTGATAAACTCTTGAAAATCAACTTCATCAGGGAAGTCAAGTACTCAGACTAGCTCACTAACCTGGTCCTGGTTAAGAAGTCGAATGGCAAATGGCGGACTTGTGTCGACTTCATGGATCTGAATAAAGCATGTCCCAAAGATAACTTTTTGCTACCACAAATTGACCAGCTAGTAGATGTGACAATTGGAAACGCACTACTTAGCTTCATGGATGCGTACTCGGGATATAACCAAATCCTGATGTACTAGCCTGATGAAGAGCATACCTCTTTTATTACTGACTGTAGAATTTATTGTTACAAGGTTATGCCATTTGGCCTCAAGAATGTTGGGGCGACCTACCAACGCTTGGTGAACAAGATGTTCGCCAACCAAATCGGTAAGACCATGGAGGTATTCATCAACGACATGCTCATCAAGTCAAAGGTCGCCAAAAGCCACGTTGAGCATCTGGGGAAAATGTTTGGCATCCTCAGAAAATACCGGATGAAGCTTAACCCCTTAAAATGTGCTTTTGGAGTGAGCTTGGAGAAATTTCTGGGCTTTCCCGTGAACCAACGGGGTATAGAAGCCAACCTAGAGAAGATTCAAGCTCTGCTTGACATGAAAAGCCTGACTAGCATAAAGTAAGTATAGAGCTTGACAAGACGTGTGGCCATACTCAGCAGGTTTGTTTCCCAAGCCACTGACAGATGCTTACCATTTTTTGAGACCCTGAAAGGAAAGAAAGGTTTCAAGTGGATAGAAGAGTGTGAAAGAGCCTTTCAGGAGCTGAAGAAACATCTAGGACAACATTCTTTGTTGTCAAAGCCCATCCAAGGTGAGCCATTATTATTATACTTGTCAGTATAAAAGTTTTCTGTCAGCGCGGCACTGGTATGCGAAGAGGGAGCAGTACAATGGCTGGTATACTATGTGAGTAAAAGACTGCTCGACATGAAGACGAGATACCCTGAGATGGAAAAGTTTGCCTTTGCCCTTGTCACTGCTGCCAAAAAGCTGCGGCCCTATT